ATCAACCATTTTTATGTCTAAAATAATTTTTAAAATACAATCGGCAATGTCGCAAATTGGTTTTGTGAAGAATCGTGTGAATGAAAAGGTATATGCGGAATCGTGTAATGCGGAATCGTGAATTACCGAATAATCTGGGCTCAAAATTTTACTCATAAATTGGTTGAGAATGTTCAGAATAAATTCCTTAAGTCTGCAAATTGAATTTTATGCAAATACTCATCCCAATCATTACTATGTTCATGCATTAGCTTAGACAACATCGCTGGTAGACCTCTGTTATATCTCTCAACTTGTCCATTTGATGATGGGGAGCTTACTGCAGTTTTAATATGTTTTAACTCATGAGTTTGACAAAATTCTTGGAATATCTCTGAGCGGAAACAAGAACCACGATCAGATATGATTTTAAAAGGTTTACTATAATATTTGAAATATTGGGACAGTCTAGAACAGGTTTCTTTTGCTGCTACTGTCCGAACAGGATATAAGGTTAAAAATTTACTGAATGCAACTATAACTAAGATATGCTTATATCGACCTTTAGTTTGATTTATTGGGCCAAAATGATCAACATGTATTGTTTGAAATGGTTTATTTCCTTTATCAATCAAGTTTAATAAGCCTTCACCCTTGCCTTCTTTTGGGGAAAATATAATACATTTTAGACAGTTACTTATGTACTTTTTAACGCGTTCAGCTAATTTTGGGAACCAGTATATTTGTTTAATCAACTCTATGGTCTTACTTTCACCTACGTGGCACATTTCATCATGACAAGAACGAATAACTTGTTCACACATATCTGCCGGAACATAGAATAGCAACCGCTCGTTTCCCTTTCGATATATAAGTCCATTTCTAAGTTCAAATAACGGGTGTTCTGACTTTTCAAGGTACTCAAATATAATTTTAATATCTAGGTCGGTTCCCTGTTTGACCGCAAGAGTTTGATTAAAAGTACAAGCCTCTAACACCATTATCTGTTTGCAACGACTTAGCGCATCAACATGTTGCATGCGTGATCCTGGGCGATGCTCGATATCATATGAATAATTTTGAAGGAACATGGCCCACCTGGCTATACGCGGGTTAATGTCCTTTCGCTGTAGTGTTACTGTAACACTATTACAGTCAGTAACTATTTTGAAATGTATCCCTAATAGATATACATGAAAACGCTTAATGGCATTAATAATAGCTAGCATTTCCAGCTCGTAGCTGTGATAACGCGACTCAGTGTCTGTAGTTCTATGACTATAGTAAAATATAGGATGAAATTTGTCATCTACCTGTTTTTGAAGCAGAATAGCACCCATGACTGCTAGCGTCGCAGTGAAGCTCTGTACTCGCTTTCGGATCATAAATAGCTAACAACGGCTGTGCTCCCAACTTTTCTTTAATAGAATCAAACGATTTTAGTTGTTCTTCTCCAAACTCAAAAATAATTCCTTTTTTAAGTAAGTTGTACAGAGGTTTAGCAATGATTGCAAAATCTGGGACGAAGCGTCGAAAATAAGATGCTAAGCTTATAAAACTTTGAAGTTCCCTATGATTTTTTGGAACTGGATAGTTCTGAACAATACTAATATTTTTAGGATTTGGTCGGATACCAAGTTGACTTATACTATATCCAAGGTAGATTACCTGGCATTTGAGAAACTCACTCTTATCCAAACGTATTTCAAGTTGCTTGTTTCTCATTACACACAAAACCCTGCTAAGTAAATCTAAATGTTCTTCAATAGACTCGGTGGCGATCATAATGTCATCAAAATAAACGATTACTTCTTTTTTCCGAATAAATTCACTAAATATGTCTTGAATTAATCGACTAAAACACGAGGGACCCGTGGCCAACCCAAAGGACATTTTCAAAAATTCAAATTGGCCTAAAGGTGTTATGAATGAGGTGTACTTTACCGAATCTTTAGCAATATTAACATGATGAAAGCCATCCTTGAGGTCCAGACAAGTATTTTTTTCCTTTTAACAAATCTATATTATCATCTATCAACGGAAGGGGAAACCTATCCTTCATTATATACTTATTAAGCTCACAATAGTCAACACATAATCTATAGTCACCGTTTTTCTTTTTTACTAGAACTATAGGGCTGCTGTATTCAGATTTACTAAGCCTAATAATTTTTTTACTTAACATATTGTCTAATATTTTTTGAAGGCACTCTTTTTCATAAAAGGAAAGACGCCGTGGCCTGAAATTAAACTGCTTATCACTTTTTAACTGAATAATCATTTCTGGGTGTATACTATTATCATCATTTACAATATCTCTACCAGTCAAATATGAATTTTTGAAAATTTGTTTAACTTTTATTTTAAAATTTTCTGGTAATTTATTTTCTATATTTAAATCAATATCTAAATCACTGTTCCCTTCATTTTTAAAATTAATAGATAAAATTTCTTCAAAAGAAATGTTGACACTTTTTTTCTTAAAATTAATTAAAAATTGTCCATTTTCAACACTCAAAGTTATACGAGGGTGAGATAAAAAGTTGCGCCCTAACAAACAGTCACTTTTAATAGTATCATTGGGCACCACATGAAAATTTATATTAATAGGAATGTCAAGATCAGGGTGTAAAATGTCAGCAGAGAATTGGTCAACTATACTAAGTTTAGATTGGTTAATACCAACTAGATCAGACTTAGGAGGTACAACTCCGGATACATAATTAACAACAGTAGACTTTAAAAGACTAATGGGGCTACCAGTATCAACAAGTGCAGTTACATCAGACAAAACACCGTTCGGATATTTAATAGTAATACTTATCATATAAGGGGGTACAATACATTGGGGTGATCTCTCTAATAATGATACATTCTCACCAACTCCATCGCTTTGCTGGCTACTCCGAGAGTCAGGGCACCTCCGCTCCGAGTGACCCAAGTTGTGACATCTTTGACAGGTACGGGTTGGGCACACATTCGCGAAGTGTCCAAGTGCTTTACAATTAAAACATGTAACTTGTGACGATTCTCTCTGCTTACGAGTATTCGGTGATGTTGCCGGTGGTTGTGCTTTAGTTGCTTCTCCTACTACTGGACAATGATTCGTTGTCGAATGTCAATATGATTTATTTTGGTTACCTTTGTTGTCACCGTCACCCGAGGTCTTATTATACTCTCCCACTCGAAAACGAGTATTACGCGCAACGTTCACAGAATCGAATGCACGTAGATCAGACAAAAGCTCGTTTTCACTAAAGTGATCACGTGCCAACAAATAATTACAGAGCTCACGAGAATATAGGCCCTCAACGATCTGACGTTTTTCTTCACGGAACGACAATCCAATTTCGCGACACAGTCTAGACTTGTGGTGGAAATATTCAAACACACATTCGTTTTTCACTTGAACACGATTAGACATAATACGAACTTTATCGACGGTATCAAGTGTATGTCCAATAAAAGTATTCTTAAATTGGTCGACAAAGCTACTCCATGACATGAATGTACGGCCAATGTACCAGTTGCAAGACGGGCCAACTAGCTTAGTCCGAACAATTTCCATCTTGAAGCTTTCTGGCCATCCGTGGATCCTGGCGACACTTTCGACCGAATCGATCCACAATTGGGCTTCTTGGCTTGCTTCTCGTCCCGAGAATTCAGTTAGCGAGTTATTGAAATCTGGCATAACAAAATAACCATTGCGAGCGTTAACAGTCGTAGGCGAGTCAATACTCTTATTAGTTGATACCTGATTATTATTGTTTTGCTGTTGTGATAAACGCTCCAACAGCATTCTGTTCTGTATCATCAGTTCCGATAACGCGATTCGTAAATCATCGTCACTGTTACCAACCGTTGGATCATTACTTGAACTGTGCGACTGTTGGTCCTCACCGCTAGACGTTTGTACGGTTTGTAGGTTATGTGTACTATCCCCATCGTTAACCTTGTTTGGCGGCAGGGCCTTACCATTACGTAACAACCGCATGGAATCCACGTTAGAATCTGTAATCGCACAACTCATCTTGTTGTACCAATTCACACATATGTACTAGACGATTCAACGGATTTTAACAAATATCACAATAAAAAAATGAATTAACTTTACTGTCGTCGAACACACGTGATTTATAATAACGAATCCACTTCTGAATCTATAGGGGCGTCTCGGTCAGGATTAATGATAAATTAATTAATATCGCATATAATTAATTATTGCACAGCAGCACAAAAAAAACCCTTTATTTAAATCAAAACCAACGCATGACAAAATATAAAAAAGAAATATATCAAAGAAAACATATAACGAAAGAACTCGACATCGGGCTACTCCGCACACGATGGGTCATCGAGACGAATAGTAGTGGGTAGTTACTACTGTATTCGGTACCATGTAACGATTACAGTGGTGGAACGAGTAGGAACGAGTACATATATCGTTCCACGTTCGTTCCATCGGTACATTCGGTACAAAGTTTCCAACTACAAAATGGTCCCCTACCGTCACTGTCCGGGTACCGAATACCGATTACCGACGGTGGTCGAATAGTAACGAGTTGTCACGATAATATATTATACGTCTATGTCGTCTCGTTTTACTATTTACTTTACCTGCTGCTGTTGTTGTGTAGTTGTGTTGATATTTGTTGATAATCGTAGGGAGAGGATGGTGGTGGAGGTGGACAGTGAATGCTATAATTATAGATATAATGCAAAATCATATGAGTACGATAATAATTTTATCGTGTTTTTATTTTTATTAAGAAGTTTAAATAAAATTTGAAGTAAAATTATTTTTAGATTATTGTATACACGGTTGTAGAATTATTTTTATGTAAGCTGTATAATAATCATAGGCATTATGCAGTATTGCTGTGCAGTGGTAGGCACTATATGTCAGACGTGCGTGTTTACTGTTTAGATTGTTTAGACCTATTAATTTTTTATTCATATTTTCGTAAATATTATAATAATGGACAGAAAAAAAAAGCGATGAATGGAATCATTATTCGGTTATTAATAGTGGAATGGCTAAATGTTCGTATTGTTCAAATTCGGTGTCTTATAAAGGCGGATCAACTACAAACTTAAGTAAACACTTAAAACGAAAACACATAATTCAATATGAAAGTAGAAAACATCCGCGTATTAATGAAATGATTGAACAAAATGTTGATGAACCAAGTAAGCAAAATACACCCTGTTCACGCAAACACGGTGAAAATGTAATGACCGGGTTACGGTTGGTAGCGCCGCATATACAATGTCGCGCTCAGCGCTTATATAAAAATACATAAGGGTGCCTTCACGACAGGGATCAAAAAAAATAATAAATAATAAAAACCAAATATGTGGTATAAGAAATTATAATAAAAAAACAAAATAAATAATATAAATAATGTATGGCCCACACGGCGCACACTAATAATAATATAAATAATGTGTGGCCCACATGGCACACACCAAATAATAAAATAATAATAATAATAAGTGTTGACCCTACAGCGGCAACAATAAATGTTTAAATAAAAATATATAAATAAATACAATAAATAATTCAATAATAATGGTAAAAATATAATTTGGCACTAACACGGAGCGCAAATAAATAATTTAATACGTGGCCCACACGGCGCACACAAATAATAAGAAATTTATAATAATTTGCCTACGACGGCACACCGCAGTGATACAATAAATATATTATGCGCCTATGGCGGCAATACAAAAGCTCTATATATATATATAATATAAATAATATGCCTACGACGGCTGAGGCCCGTCGGCCTTTAACACAATGAAACAAATATGGTCGACCAATACTCACATTAATATGTGACTATGTTGAATGGCTGATTGCATCCACGCGACCGCACCAACCCTGTGACTAGACAAATGCCTTAGACGGCACACCGCAGTGTATATGTGAATAAAATTAGTCACAGAATTGGTACGTGCGACCACCCAAGCACAGTCACCACGAAGATAGGTCTACAGCGCAGACGAAGACAATACGAATGAAAACCACGTTAATCACAACTGGCTGTTGGCAAGTGACCACCCTAGAACACGGTACTATAAATGATAGGCAATGACAATTGCGCAGAACGCCACTTACCAGACAGCCGACACGAAACACAAGAAAACACTGAAAAACGTGGTTTGAACAAAATGGCTGCAGACCGATACACGAAACACGAAGACACTTCAGGTGATGTGTACACCACGACGCAAAAAGGAAGACAGAAAATTGGTGCCGACGACATTTACCACGAAGGCTTTGGCCGCCGGACACCACAACGAAGATAAATGTCTCAGTGCCACGACACTAAACCAAAAATACACGAGAACTTACGAAACTTTGGCACTGAGAACATGACTTTTACTTTTACAAAAACATAACCGACAATATGAAAACGTGGAAATAACGGGCATTTTCGTACGACGATAACAATGCGATTACGTAACCCGACCGGTCGCGCACGGAGGCTTATCACCGCCGCCGACGACGGCCGGGGATACGCAACGCACCGCTATACATCGCACGAAAATGATGACATAAATGACAATTAAACACAACATACAATATGCTCGATCAGCCGAACGACCGTTAGGGGCGGTTGGCAATATTTAAAAATGTCGTTATGACGCTGTGCATCAACGAAAACCCGTCGCCGTTGCTTTCTTCTTTCTCTCGCCTCCGGTACGAACGTTGTCGTTTTTGGTGTGCGTTGGTTGTTTTCTTCACGGAGTTGTTGTGCGTTGAGAGTCTACATAGTTGACGTACCTTTGTTCCACGTATGTTGACGAGGATGTAAGATCTATTCTTACAACGGAAGTTACCGTCGTTGCGGTCGCCGTCGCCGTTTGCGAGTCGCCGTCGTTCCGGCCACGTTGTTTGCGGGTTGACGCTGCCATCCGTGATAGCAAGTTGTGCGCACGCGATTCCGCCGTTTGAGGTACACTATCGTCGTTCCAGTCGCCGTCGTTCCAGCCATCGTACGCGATATCGCCGTTTGCGATACGCCATCTCGCCGTTTGCGATTCACCATCTTTATATCGACATTGTCGGGTTTTATTATATTATTTCCTTTATATATATATATATATATATGTATTGACGGAATAGGTTTTAATTTATTATATTGTTTCCACATGGTTTGTTTTTTGTTTGTTAATACTCATTGAAATATATTAATGTTATTATTATTATTATGTAAATACCAGACTTAACCTTATTCAATCTCCAGACACTCTAGTCACAGGAGTCAACTGTCGAGTAAAGAGCTTGTGTGGCGAACACACCCGAAACAAATAATGATCAAAACCAACCTTCTACATCAATCAATGCAATTAATATCATAAATAAATCTCGTCCCATACAAAAAAGTGTAGATTCGTATTTTATTAACAATAAACCACTTTCTGTTTCAACACAAAAAACAATTGATGAACAGCTAGGAGTTATGATTTCAAAAGAATTCCAACTTTTCAGTTTAGTTGAAAATGTTGAATTTAAAAAATGCATATATTTATTAAATCCTAGGTATCAGTTACCATCGAGGAAAACTGTTTCGAAATCTATTTTACCACAGTTGTATGAGAAAACAAGAGAAAAAGTTAGAAATAATTTATTAAATGCCAAATATATTTCATTTACAACTGATGGCTGGACTTCCATAAATAATGATAGTTTTATTGCTGTCACTGTAAATTTTATCGATCCAGAAGAGTGTGTTTTAAAAAACATTTTTACTTGGATGTTTTAACATGGTGGAATCCCACACAGCTGTAAATTTGTCATTATTTTTAAATAATTGTTTTAAAGACTGGAATATAACATCAGCAATCGTCATGAATCAAAATTGGCGCCATATTCGCCATATTCCCTGTTTAGCGCACAAATTAAATCTAATTGCACAATCTGGACTAGGTGAAATAAAAAACGTTCACAAAAAAGTAAAAAACATCGTTGAATATTTTAAACGAAGTACAAAAGCAAATTTAAAACTTAAAAATGCACAAAAACAAATGGGATACCCGGAATTAAAGTTAATTCAATACGTTTGTACGCGGTGGAACTCCATGTATGACATGTTTCAACGGTGTATCGATAATAAAGAACCTCTTATGAGTACAATTGCAATAATAGGTAATATGGATAATTTAGTACACGAAGACTTTGAACTAATAAAACACTACTGTGCGATATTTAAACCGTTTAAAGAAGTTACTATCGAACTAAGTAGTGAAAAAGGCATTTCGATTTCAAAAGTGTTAATTTTAATAAAAGCATTACATTTACATATAAAAAATAAAGAAAAAGAACCAAATTTACCAAATGCTATACATTTGATGCTTTCTAAAATGGTAATAAAAGCCAATGCTAAATTTGAAAATATCGAAAACCAGCCTGTTTTAACAGAAGCAACTATTTTAGACCCACGGTTTAAAAAAAAAGCATTTAATAATCAGTATACATATCAAAAAACATACGAAAAGATAGTACAAAAAGTTGCAACAATTATTCGTTTAAATCAAAGTCCAGTAGAAAATGAAGAAAATAAGAAAACCATACCGACCTATCGTGGAAACGAAACTTTTGAAATTTGGCAACAGTTTGACTCTCAGGTACATACATTATACATTGATATGATGTATAATGTATACATCATTGATATTTTGATATTTAAGTGATTTATAAAATTAGTTTATGATTTTTAGGTGTCTACTTCAACTTCAGTCAACACACCAACATCTGAGGCTATTGTGGAGTTGGATAGATATTTGAATGAACCTATACTGGACCGAAAATTAGATCCTCTTAAATGGTGGAATGACAGAAAAAAAATCTATCCAAATTTATTTGATTTGATGTTATTGCGTTTGTGTGTACCATCAACATCAGTTCCAAGTGAAAGGGCCTTTTCAAAAGCTGGCTACACCATTTCCGAAAGACGTAATAGATTGTCAACAAAAAACACGGAAATGTTGATATTTTTAAACAGTAATTATTAAATACTATTATTTAATTTTTAATTTTTATCCATTTTAGGCTTAGGCAAGTAACTAAGTTAATTTTAGAAGTTTGAGTTTATTTATTTTATTGTTATTTTTTTTTTCTAGGGTAAAGTGAAGTGATTTTTTTTTGTATTTTTATAATTATTTTTGCTGAAAATAAATATGTTTATTATTTATGTGGTTTGTTTTTTTTGAATCTATTGTTTATTTAATATAATTGTAGCGATTGGAAAAATATTAAAACGATGATAATTTTTGATTAAGCATTTCAAATGTATATTAATATAATGATTCATAATATTGTAAACAATGTTTACAAAAACATAGTGTTTCTGATACAAATTTAATTATTTAAAGTTAATTTTTCCCGAATATAGTAAAATAGTGTTGTATAATAGGTCTACGAGCTACGAAGCATATTCGTTCATAAATATTAAATATCCATTTCAAGAATGAGTAAACATTTGAATATATGTATTTTTATCGTTCCGCGAGGAACTATACGAATGTGAGTACAAGTGTAACTAAAGAAAGAATGTACCGATGTAACGAGTATTTTGAAATCGGTACTTCATTGTAACTGTACCGATTGGAACGATAATTCCCACCACTAGAGACGAACTAACTACTGTCTACCAACACAAACAATATAATAATTACATAGTATCATATTATCACATATCTCTTATCGTCAAACTGTCATTACATTATTATTTGTTACTACAATATTGATTGTCCAAATTTATTAAGTAAAATTAGTATTTGTACTCATAGTTATTCGATTAGAAATTCTTGTTTATTTTTTTGTACCTTATTATAAAAAAAAATATGTTAAGATTCATTTTTTTCCTAGAGCACTATTATTATGTAATTCAATTTGTAATGAAGTCGATTTCTTTTTTATGTCTCGTGAATCTTTTAAAACAAAAGCTTTATACCTACTATCTAAATGAAATTTATTTATTTTATATATGTGTACATTTTTGTTATAATTCACCTTTCAAACTAAATTAATTATTTTGTATTTGTACGGTTGTTCTTGATTATTATGTATTATATCTTATGTAAAGGGCTTGTCCCGTCAAACTTAATAATAAATAAATAAATATTATCCATTAGTGGTTTTTCATTGACACTTTCAGTTGGATGGTCATTTAAATTTGTAACTTTGTGTCTTAAATTAATAGAAATTTCTAAGCCAATTTTCTCAACAATTTCTTTATTAGCAACTTTTAAGAAACTAGTAATTTTAAGAAGTTTTGCTTCAGATTCTTCGATTTTTTTTTTGTTTTCATTTTTTAACTGCTTCACTCGTACTGCTTAACATTTTGATTTCATCTTCTTTCCATGATTAGGTATAGTCGACAGTTATATTGTTATTATTTATACAATTTTCGTAATTATTTAAACGAAAATAATAAATTAACAATTAACTATAAACAATATATTTTTAAGCAACAATTAAAGTGTTTCCAAACTTTTTAAACACACGGTAAACAAAAATTTAACTTACTTGTTCTATGTCAGTAGTCCGGACGATTCGATAGTCAAATGTAAAATGCCATGTAGAATGTAAATGGACAAATCGGAAAACAGACGATATTTATATTAATATCGCGATAATAATAACTATATTGTTGTATGATTACCATTAGTGATTAGTGGTTAGTTTATGCGTACTGTGTACGTTGTACGAGTGGTACCTACGACGATTGTCATTTTTTATTGCATAATAATTATTGATTCAGGATTCTATACATCCATCACGATATTAATATAAACATCGTCTATTTTCAAATAATATAATATGATAGGTATTAGAGATGTAATGTATACTTGATGCTACAATCCTATAATTATTAAACGTATTGTATTGCAGCATCGAATACTGATACTCGAATTCTTAAATAATTCCCATCACTGATAGGTATGTTTTGGCTGTTTGTTGTACTTTTTTCTATCTCAATAATAGTACCGGTCTCGTCAATATTAAAATAAAATTCAAATATTTGTATATAATTTTTGAATAATACAAATTGTTTTTACGAGGATCGAGGGCCCCTCCGGGGTCCCCTAAGTCCAGGGTCCGGGGGCATTGTCGTGTCTTGCCATCCCGTAGTTACGCCACTGATTACTAATATACACGCCTTTACCATCACGAGACCATCTTTTTTTATTAGAAATAAGATCATTACACCTAAACCAAATATTCAATTTTTTTATAAAATTTATAAATTCAAATATTTTTTCTTTAAAATAATAAATACATAGCTCAACGTAGACTATGTTGGTCATACCAATGTCATAGTTGTACGCGATATGTGAACAGTTCTCGCTATAATAACAGAACGTGCTGAAAAAATTAACACGATAGCTACAAACGATACCAGATAACGAAACGAAATGTGTAAGGAAAGTAAGAAAATGTTTAAGCTCCCCTCCTTCAAAACAAAAATCCTGGGTGCGTCAGTGACGCCATTTCAGTTTTTTTTTAAAGGTGTACAAGCAATTAAAGAGGCCAATTTTTTTCATACCACCAGGCCAACATTTAAGATTAGTAGTGATTACTGATTAGCCGTGGTGCATGCACAATGTTATACATTGGAAAACTGAAGACCAAGGCGGTAAGGCCATGTATCAGTGACATCTAGGCCAATAGCCAATAATTGAATGTGAAAAAAATTAAGGGTGTCCCAGTGCGTGTCTGAGCCAATGCATTAAATATTTCACCACGGCCCGCTTCACATACGGAAATTTCGTCCTCACGGGTTTGATGCACTAACGTAAATGATTCAAGGGAAAAAACCAACACGTGAAAACAACGTCCGTTCGAAATAATTCGTACGGACGTAACGGGCGTACCTAACGGTGCTTGACACTCGATGATTAATCGTGGAAATCAAAACGGATATGGTGTCCGCGTCCAACGACGAACACACGCTAGGATATTAATTTTTCGCTATTTCATGACGACGAAACTGACTGATTGCTCTACATTTTAACCACAGAATATATATTATCCTATTCTATGTTGCCACTTTTCCATCATTCGTTATCGCCCGCGGTAAACGGTTATCAGCTATTATCAGCGTAGGCCATACGCGAATCATAGATCAGAGTTATCTCAGCCGTTATTGACAATGACTTAGACTTGTTGTCGAAGTCAATTACTTAACACTCAAATAATTCTTTTTAGAGAACATTTTCTCTCCCTCTTTCGTAATCGCTTATTTTTTCATAGTAACTCGTTAACAAACCCAATAGATAAATTGTGCGTGCCGAACACCAAATCCGATCTACATGCCCAGTGATCAAGATGTTGTTTAATTCTCAACAGGCCATTTCATCTCTTCGAACGTGGTTGTCGTGGCTAAACGCTGTTTTCGATACGTTCGGGTTACGTTGACAGCGGTAGCGATTTCCACAGAACTTTAATGACCGACAATGGGTGACGATCTTTGCAATCTCGATTCTTGGGGCTTGCCTCCTCAAATTGTCGCCGTAAATATATTATACAACACTATATGGTTATAAACACAATATTGCTCACGATGTTTCATGTTTTTCAGAACTACAAGAAACGTGGTATTGTGTCCATGTTTCCTTGGCAAGTGGAATGTCTGACCAGTGAAGGCGTATTGGATGGACGAAATCTCGTGTATTCAGCCCCTACATCAGCCGGTTAAAATTTTACTAGTTAGATACATTTTAGATGATTTCCCATTTAAATACACACACTAACACAGTCATATATACTTAATCAATATTTTGAAATTATTTTTAAAATTTGTCAGTTTTATCCTTTTAAAAATATTTATCTGTGAATCTGTTAGTCTTTGCTTCTCTATTTACTATTGCCATTGCTTCTCCTTGTATTTTCAGTACCCCCTTGATGGGCTGAACTGTTATAATTATAATATTTATAATATTGTTTTTTTTGAGTTAAAATACATTTTTTTTTTTTTTAGGTAAAACTATAGTCGCTGAAATACTAACAATGCAAACAATATTAGAAAGAGATAAAAAAGTGTTAATAATTCTTCCATTTGTGTCTGTTGTTCGAGAGAAAATGCTTTATTTTCAGGTGAATTATATAATATTAAAAACATACTGTTGAATTATTTTTTGTGCTTTTTTTTCAAATAATGATTAATGTAGGAGTTGTTTGAAGGCACAAATAAAAGAATTGCAGGATTTATGGGCAGTTATACACCTACTGGTGGACTGCGGTCTATAAATGTTGCTATTGCCACTATTGAAAAAGCCAATGGTATTATAAATCGGTAATAATAAAAATGAAATTGAATAAATATAATAATAAATAATAGTAACACAATTTATCGTAGGTTGATGGAAGATGATGGGTTACAAGATATTGGTTGTGTAGTTGTGGATGAATTACACATGTTGGGCGATTCAAATAGAGGATATTTGTTAGAACTACTTTTAACAAAAATCAAATACATGTCTAAGATGTAAATATCACTAATATCATGCTGTGTTTGACTTTTTTATTTATTATTCTTTTTTTTTTTTTATTGGTTTTTAGAAGAAGTAATTTATCAATTCAGATTGTTGGCATGTCAGCTACATTGCCAAATTTGGAATTGCTTGCGAAATGGTTAGACGCTTCTCTATATGAGACTGATTTTCGTCCAGTCCCATTAAAACAATATTTAAAAATAGGCAAACATGTTTACAATGCGAGTAATCTTACTCTGAATCATATAATTAAACCCAGTATTACATTCAAAGTAATAAACAATAATTTTTAAAATTTAAAATAATTAATATAATCAATTTGCTTATTTTAGAATGATCCAGATGATATAATACATTTATGTATTGAAACTATTCTTCAAGGCTATTCAGTGTTAATATTCTGTTTTACCAAAAAATGGTGTGAATCTTTAGCCTTAGATATTGCATCTGAAATTAAACGGTTAGGTAATTATATTTCTTTCACTAATATATGTATAATATCAAATTTATAATTTTGGATATAATTTATTTTAATTTTAGGTAGTGATAATAAATCAAAAACTGGAATAGAATTAAGAAATCAATTAAAGGGTGAAAGTTTATGTGATGTATTGGAACAACTTCGAAGATGTCCCGTTGGCCTTGAAACTGATTTAAGCAAAACCATATCATTTGGCGTTGCTTTTCATCATGCAGGTGATTTATCTAATTTGAGACAGTAATTCAAAAAAAAATATTTTAGTTTTTAGTATTATCGTTTAATTTAAAATGTATATTCTATATTAAAGTTCTATCTATAAAATTATAAAGGCAAGGTTAATTTTAATAATAAATAGTTATCTTGAAAATTAAATTAAATTAATAAAAATATTAATATTGTAGGTCTCACAATGGATGAAAGGGACATAATCGAAGGTGGATTCAAACAAAATATTGTACGAGTATTAGTGGCAACATCAACATTATCTTCTGGTGTAAATTTACCTGCACGAAGAGTTATTGTCAGATCACCACATTGTCATGGATTTCCTATTGATATTCTTCAGTATCGACAGATGATTGGACGTGCTGGTCGTATGGGCGTAGATACTGCTGGTTTGTCAACATATATTGTTATTTTAAATAATTTAAAAATTATTTTTATAAAAATAAATATAATTTTGTTACAGGTGAAAGTTATTTAATATGTAATGAAAATGAAAGAAAAATGGGCGAAGAAGTTGCTACTCAGAATCTTCCATTAATTAAAAGTTGTTTAGGAGTTGGACATTTTTCTAATTGTCTAAAACGAGCTTTGTTGGAAGTAGTAGCTGGTTGTGTTGTTAGCACTACAGAAGAAGCTTTCGAATATATTAAGTGTACATTACTTTATATGTCAACTAATGAAAATTGTAAGTATATTTTCAATAAACTTATTTTGATGAATTTACTAAATATATAAGTGGAATATATTGTATAAAAATTCTATAGTCAACGAGAATCCAATTCATCAATGTCTTAAATTGTTAGTTGAACATCAATTTATACGAGAAAACGACAATAAATTAGCTCCAACAAATCTAGGCCAAGCTTGTCTTGCAGCATCTGTTACACCAGAAATTGGTCTCAAATTGATTAAAGAACTAGATAAAGCTAGACAAAATTTTGCCCTTGACTCTGAACTACATCTACTTTATTTAGTAAGACAGATTATTGGCGAATATTTTTATTTGTTAATAAGCAAAAATTATTATGTATTGTATTTTAGATTACTCCATATTCAGTTAGTGAACAGATTGGCCATTTGGATTGGTTTAGAGTTCTTAATATATGGGAAAAACTACCACATTCTATGCGTAAGGTTGGTGACATGATTGGTATCGAAGAAGGATTCATTGTTAAAGCTATGACTGGTACCACTTTTAGTATGTCTTCAGATGTAAGTTTTTTATCTTCTAAAATTTTGTATTTGTTAGTTTTATATATTTAAATTAAAAACATTTGATAGTTAAATATTACTGTTTTATAGATCATAAAAAATATTTTGAATGATAAATCATTCTAGCTATAACAATTGTAAAATAACTTAAACTGTTCGCACATCATAGAAAAAGTTAATTTACTATTTTATGAGTTCTGATTTTAGTATGTTATATATTAAGTTAATGTTATAATATTAGATTCTGAAAGACTTATTTTTTTTAATATTTATGTAACTAAAAGCTTGTTACCTAACATAACAAACCAAATTTCTATAACAGCCTTTTTTTTTTTTTTTTGTCACAAATTATTTTCTACAACTTAATTAGTTTTCTACCATGTCTATAGCTTAAATAGTTTGAAAATATTAATTAAAACAGCTTAACATTTTGTATACTGTATGTTTAATATATTTTGTATTAGAATATTTATAACTCAGTGTTTTGGTGTTCTAGAAGCACAAGTTAGCTATTCATAGAAGATTTTATACGTCACTTTTGTTACAAGACTTAATAAACGAAGTTCCTATCAATACTTTAGTTGTCAAATATGGTACATCTAAAGGTCTTTTGCAAAGTCTTCAACAATCATCATCTACATTTGCAGGTGGAGTTTTATTAAAATGTTTCACTTTAATAATTGTATTTATTTTTATAATTATTATATTATGTTTATAGGAATGGTGACACAATTTTGTAAAAGACTAGGTTGGTCATCTTTGGAATTGTTAATATCACAATTTTCAGAAAGACTACAGTTTGGTGTTCAAAGACAGCTAGTTGAATTGTTACGTTTAGACTGTTTGAATTCAATTACTGCACGGACATTGTATAATGCCGGAATACACAACATTCCCGAATTAGCATTAGCTGATATGCGATTAGTACAGCGTACCCTAGCCAAAGCAATTCCATACCAAAGGTAATATATTATATCATATAGTGGTACTTGAAATTTTTTTAATTTACAAAATATTAAATCTATTTTTAGTAATGTAAACAATAATAATACTAATGATGAAGAAAAACGAAAGAACATTTGGTTGGCTGGACGATTTGCTCTTAATGAAAAAGAAGCAGCTTATTATATTATAAATGAAGCAAGACATCTTTTAAAAGTAAAATAAATGATAAACCTAAAGTTCAAATCACACTCTGATTTACTTTAGTTATCAACTTTTTAGTTCATATTATTTTTTTTATTTTTTTTTTTATTTAGTTATTAATTATAAAACTGGTTCCTTGAAATTTGTTGATAATTGTATTAACAATAATAATTTTTTTTTTTTAATTCTTTAATTTCAATATATTGTGTATTTTAAATTATAAAATTAGATTAAAAATTTTTATTTTGTTATGGTGAATGAATTATCTTTGTCTAATATACATAATATACTTGAACTACTTTCTACATTTCTCTCATTGTGTCCTCATGGTTAATTTTAAGCTACCCTGATGTATTATAAGTATATTGAATTAATTCCAACATTTTTTTAAGCTTTTTTATTTGTTTTTGAAGTTATTAATAATACTGATAAAAGTGATAATATTTTTAATGATAATGAATGATGAATAAATTATAATTTTACTATACAACAAATATGATTATATTGGACAAAGTTGATCAAATGCCTTCTTATACTAATTTATATAAGTTAAACTTTTAAGTTGCTACTAGATATCAATCTAGTATAAATAATTGTCCTGTTGTATTTATTAACTTTTTTTTAAGCATTTATTTTTAAAATGATCTGAATTCAAATTTATTTTGTACAATTGTATCAAAAACTGTTATTAATATTGTATTAATTATATATATAATGCAAATTTAAATTAAACAATTTTAATTTTATATTTTATTATTAATATTATTATTTTTTTTTTATAGAGAGAGCTTGGTCTTAAATCTGCAAGTTGGGTTGATTGTAACATTGATGAAGATGATTTAGACACAACTGTAAATTTGGTAAAAATAGGTCCTATTTCATCAAAAGATATCACTGTAATTGAAACTAGTCAAGATAGTAATACATCAATTAAACATTTGGTGAATAATACTGTTCATAATTTATCAAATTCATCAAGAAGAGACAGTGTAGAGTTATTTGCAGAATCTGAATGTGCTGACATTGAACAGTTAGAAATTCAAAGTAAAGATTATAAGCGAGAAAGTTTAGATCTTTTTGAAGGGTCGTTTGAAAAATCTAAATTTAGTATTACAGTAAGTGCTTGTCAACAGAGTAATCTAGATAGTTTTAGTTATAAATCGATTTCTGATTCCTTTCAAAATGAGTTGGCTAGTATTAAAACACCAAAAGTACTGGAAGAAAAATGGGATTGTAATATTGGAGGTGAAAGTATTTTGGAGATGTCTCAGAGAGATATTGGTTCTAAGAAACGAAAAAGAGAAGACGACTCTTCGACTGAAAAAGATAATTTACGTGTTACATTTTTAGAACCTCAGCTCAAATATAAAAAAATAGAACCTTCAACAAGTAAAACTATTGAAAATTGCGATATTTTTGAAAGCACAATGTTTCCAGATTCAATAAGGATTAACACACAACTTGAACAACTTTTAAACAGTAATGATAAGTTAAATGTAAATTCGAGTGTAATATCTATTGGAATGAGTGATAGTGTAATGCAACTTGCATTTCAAAATACTTTTGAATCAATGTCAAATACAATAATATCTTCAAAGAAATGTAATATTGTCAATGATACATGTAAGCATTTAGTTATATCTGACTCTGAAGATATGATTGCTGGATCTCAAGATACCACATCTAGTGGTCCATCTCCTCACAAGTATGTTACTCCTACTTTGTTCTTTTAGTTTTCATCAGCCTTAAAATTTATGTTTATTATTTTAGAGATTCACCACTAAAACCAGACTCAAATGCCAATTCAATAAAATGTAATTCCTGGGCTTATAAAACTAAATTAGTAGAAAGTACGAATTCATTTTCACAAGAACACTTTCCTGATATTAAACGTAGGAAAGAAATAACATTATCTTTAAGTGTATGTCAAGAAGTTAACAACAAACAGAAAATTGGAGCTAGAATTGTGAGACGCAGTCTAGAAAATAGTAACAGCACAAATTTATTAAAATTTGATGACCAAGTACTTAAAGGTTTTGCAATTACTTGGAACAAACAGAATGTCATACATTATATAGATTTTGATAAAATTGGTATGTTTTCTTTATATTTTTTGGCCCCCATACAAGTTTTCTCAAAGGGGGTCAGTATTAATTTAAGAAATAAAAATTAAGTAAAAATTATTTTTTGTTTAATAGGTCCATCTGCTGTTAGTTTATTGAAAAAGTTGTTATACAATAAAAACTTAACTGTTAATATTATTGATGCAAAATCAAACTACAAAATAATTTCTCAATGTTGCAATATCAAGCCTCTTTGCAAATTCAGGGATCCTTTTGTAGCCGATTGGTTAATAAATGGTCAACAGAGAAATTCATTAGAAAACTTGGTAATTTATTTTTACATTTGTTAATGGTGTTTTATATATATTTAGCCATATGTGTATTTCTATTTAGTTTATAATTTTTTTAACAATCATTTTTAATGGTTTAGATTCAATGGCATTTAAACTACCAAGGTAATATCAAAAAAAATAATTCAGTTTTTAGTGCATTTATCACTCAAAAATTAATGTTTACATTAAGACATCAACTCAGACAAATATATATTTATAAAACATTCAAAGGTACAATTTATTATAATTAATATTTAAAGAATAATAATAATAATTTCTATATTAGATATAGAGATGCCTATACAAACAATTTTGGCAAAAATGGAACTTTATGGTTTTGGTCTGAATAAAGAGTGCTTGGTTAAGTTAAATAGTAAAGTAAATAAACTATTAGAAGATATTTCTAAACAAGGACTTGAACTATCAGGAACCAAGTTTAATATGCAATCTACTTTGGAATGGGCTAAAGTATGTATTAATTAATATTTATTTATTAATTAAAATAATATAAGTATCTCATTGTTTTATGTTTAATAATTAGGTGAAAAAAAAATTTAATTTTACTGATAGTTCTTCACATCCTTTAGTTGTATTGGTAAAAAATTGGCGAAAATTAAGTTGTCTTAGAAGTGTGAGTTTTTTTTTCATTTAATAAAAAATATTGTGGTAAGTAATGCATTAATAATATTGTTTTCATTTTATAGCATATTAATACTTTTTTGGCAACAAAAACTGATCGTGTTTATTGTGACAGTAATTCATATTCTATGACTGGTCGAATTAGTATGCATGAACCCAATTTACAAAATGTACCCAAAGATTATGTTCTTGAAGATGAAATATTAAGTATTCGATCAGCATTTGTATCCAAGACAGGTTAGTTTTATTTTTATTATTATTCCTCTTAAAAAAATATTTTATTTTATTTTTGTCTTGTGTCTAATTTATATAAAATGTATTTTTAATTAAAAAAAAATATATTTAATAAAAAACTTAATTTCATTTAACTAAGTTTATTTTTGTACTTGAAAATAATTAAACAATCAGATGTTAAAATTATTTTAAAATTTCTCCTCCTAGTTATAAACTCATGTTGTCAACATTCGTCCAAGACCATTCTAGGTCATTATAGTTTAGATCAGTAGTTTTCAACCTTTTTTGGATTGCAACCTCCTATTATTTATTTTTGTGTAATGCGATCCCTTCAAAAAAAAAATTTTGTTTTATTCATCAAAATTTGATTTAATTACCGATAAAATATTTACAAGATAAACAATTTTGATTAATTAACACTTAAAAATTTCACAAATAAATAATTTACTTTGTTTTTTTTTTTAAATAACATGGAAAAACCATTTCATCCATAATTTTTGGCGACCCCCAAAGCTATGATTCGCGATCCCCTTGGGGGTCTCGACCCCCAGGTTGAAAACCACTGGTTTAGATGATCACATTTTGTTTATAAATTGTTCAAATTTACAATTTGAAAATTAAAATTTCTTAATTATTCATAATTTTTTTCCATGTATGAATATTGTATTAAAAAAGTAAATAAAAGTGCTTTTGCTTAAACAGTTCGTAAAAAATAATTAAAATATAAAATATAAAAATGATTTCGGACAGGCATTATCTCAATAATTAAATAAGGCATTGGATCCTCAAATGGGTTTCCACCTCTGCTCTAGTGCAGAATTTGCAGAACTATTTTCATCATTTAATATTCTAAATGAAATTCATTGTTATGAAATGCTTTAAGTAGTAATTTTGTTTATTTATTTTAATACAGTTTTTTGTTTAATATTTTTTGTATTTAATCCAATTATAGTGGCGTATTTTGGGGGGGGGGGCAGGCTGAATCCCCTTGATCTGTGTAGTAAATTTGAACCCAATAATATCTACTCTTATTATATTATATAATGTAAGATAAAATAATGATTTGTTATTTGCAAACGAAAATAAAAATAGTAAATTCAGTGTCTTGCATTAATAATTTATAGATATAGAAAAGTTCCCTTTTCTTATATTTTTAATTTGAGCAAACTTTAACAAAATAAGCAACAAGACATGTAATACTTTGGTTAATGTAATAAAGAAAAAAATGCCTTACAAAAAATTTGAAAAACCGCCGATAACTCATTCAAAAAAATAATGGAAAATGTTTCTAAATTAGTTTCTATTGTAAATGTTGATTTAAAATGCCTCGTATTTGTAGAAGACAAATTAAACACGTTGATGTTAATTTCCATAGCCACAAGAATATTTTAATTATATATATACCATTTCTCAATATTTTAATATCCCAGTTGATTTTAAATGAAATTATTTTGGTGTTATATTTGGACGGTTTCTCCATTGGGAGATTTCTTGCTATGTCATTGATGTAGTCACTAAACATGGTGTACAGGGAGTTCTGTTGAAACTTATATATTTTATTATTTGTTATGAAATTATTTTGATCATTCTATCTTTCTGTTACATATTGTATGCACTGTGATTTTTACAAACGTATTAATTTAATTTATTAAAATAAAAGGAAAATTATAGTAATTATTACTATCTAGTTAGATTATATATTATTAAATCAAATAACATATGTTTTGGAATATTTATGTTGCAGATCACACATTGGTATCTGTAGACTTTTGTCAAATTGAGTTACGTGTACTTGCGCATCTCTCCAAAGATTCTAATTTATTATCTGCTCTTAAATCACCTGGAGATGTTTTCATAAACTTATCATCCAAATGGCATAAAATACCAGAAACTGAGGTTTGTGCATTTAAAACTAATAATTTACAAAAAAAAAAAAAAATAGTGCATGTTAAAATGTATATTGTGTTTCATTTATTTAGGTGTGCGATGAAGTCAGGCAAAAAACCAAACAAGTTTGTTATGGTATATTGTACGGCATGGGTGCAGTAACACTAAGTGAAACATTGAATATTACGGAAGACGAAGCACATAAACTACAATCTGAATTCAAAAGCACATTTCCTGGGGTTAACAAATATTTTAATGAATGTTTGTCACAGTGCAAGGCAATGGGTTTGGTGAAAACTTTGAGTGGACGAATCAGACATTTACCAGATATTAACAGTGATATACCAAAAGTAAAATGTAAGTTTTTATTAGTTTAGTTATACAAGTTATGTTTATAATATAGCTAATTGCTGATATTAGAATATTGGTATACTACTAAATCAATTATTTAGTTATTTTATTTTTTAACACTTTCTGTAGCTCACATAGAACGGCAAGCAATCAACACAATTATCCAAGGAAGTGCTGCAGATATAACCAAAATAGCAATGATTAAAGTTGATAAGGCTGTCAATCTAAGTTTACTCAGTCAACATATTCATTTAGTTATGCATTTGCATGATGAACTAATTTTTGAAGTAATTTTTGCATAATATATTTTTTTCAAAATAATCATATTATTACTGAAGAAAAATTATTTCTGTAAAACTCATTTGTACTATACACTTAAATTATTGAAAAATTGTAGGTGGCAAATTCAGTTTTTGATGAAGCATGTTCAATAATTGTCAAGACAATGGAGTCTGCAGTTAATTTGTGTGTACCTCTACCTGTCAAACTGAGAAATGGTACTTCGTGGGGTGATTTAAAATAATGATCTCATTTTTACAATTAACTTTTTAACAACTGTTTTAATTTGCACAATAATATATTGATTTTTTTTTTTTTTTGATAAAACAAAAAAAATTCAATATTTTATAAGGTGTAAGGTCTCTTAATTGTTTTTACTAATTTTAATTTTTAAATAATTGATAAAATTTCTCAATTTTCTTTATTTTTGATTTTTATTTCATTAACTTGCATCATTATTATTTTTACTGTGTAATTAATTATTATTTTATTATTATGTTGTATATTGCATGCTTTTAAAATGTCCTCAGTTTTTTTAGGGATATGTTAGTCACACTGTGATAGTTAATTTTTTTTCCTTTATTTAATAAATAATTAGCTTAATAAATACTAATTAGCTTAGTTGGTTTTTACACAGTCAAATTAGCCATTATTGATATGGTAGAACATTGAATAGTTGTTGTTATCTTGATATGTGTTTTTTTTTGAAAAAAAATTTTTATGTATCTATCTTTTATTTAAAATGCAAATATAAATGTTTATTTTCTAATTATAGTTTGGTATTTTATTATATTGTGTTTGACTAGTATTAAAGTAACATATTAATTATATACTATCACTAGAAAAGAGATGTAGGGTGTGATATTAAATATTTAAACATTTTACAAGTCTCAATTAAGTTTGTTACAAAGAAATCAAGTAATAGTGTATTACTCTATTACTCCTATTCTATAACTTCTAGATTACAAAGAAAACTGCAAATGATAAATTATTGTTTATTATTCTCTATGATATTTTTTAATGTTTAATAATTTTCATTTGATATAAGCGTGGATATTGATGCTAAATACTTAACATCATAATTAATAAATATAAAGTAGAAATAGTTCACATTAAATAAGTGCTTTAAATTAATAATTACCTCGATTATTAAATATTCATCATTTTTAAGTTAAACCTATTACTTACCCAAGTGTCATGTTTTGGAAATTAAGTTTTGCTTACCTTAAAAATAAGATCTGAGTCCATTACCTGTTATCATATATTTATTATTATACACATTAAAGAAGGGAGTGAATGGGATAGGGTATCTAAATTTAATAGAAAATTTTGAAAATAAGTTTTAAGTACACATTATATTGTTCATAACTAACTCATAACTACAATAACATTTAACTAAATATTATATTAAATTAAAATGGTCATCATTTTTAGGGATTACTTTATTAATTACACTGTTGTCAATCTATTATATACACAGTGGCGTAGTTACGGTCGAGGTGGGGTGTAAGGGGTTTCCACCCCCCAGATTTATTTTTTATGATATTTAATTATTATTTATTAATATTTACCTATTATAGTAAAATTATATTTTCATTTTACTATAATTAGGAACCGTAAAACCAGGTGAATAGAAACATTCCGATTTAATACGTTCTTATATCTAATATGCATTTATTATTTAAAAGATTCAAAGACTTAATTTATTTAAATGTTATTTATATTATATATTTACTATATAAACCAGGGGCGGCGAACCTTTTTAAGTTCAATTGCCAAATTTTTCATTTTCAGGTTTTGAAAATCGTTTACGTGCCCAAAGAAAATTATATTTTCTAAGACTAAAAACAAAATTACAGATTTATTACATTATTTTTATTAAACTTTAGTCATTCTTAGTGAAACACAAGCAGCAATTGTTTCGTTTGTTTTTTGCCAACGGGGTTCCTTACCGTGAGGTTGACTCGAATGACGGCAATACGTGCCCAAAATACCCAAAGGAATAAAATGAATTTTGTGACAGATCGGGTGACTTACTATAATACGAATAAGAAAACAAGAATGTGCCTTTTTGTTAAATGACGGGTCGTAAAGCGCCGACGTATTATTACAAATAAATACTAATGACATACAGCATTAGGGAATGGCGCCCATGGGGTGGGAAATATAAAGCTAATAATACTAATAATAATCATAATACAACATATTTAAAAAGAGACGCCATATCGGCAATAATACAATATTTCGTTAATACAACAATAATGAAAAAAAACCTGTCCGCGACGGATACAACTGGACTGAATTCAGCAGCATATGCAAAGCGACGTTAAAATGATGACGCCCACGCAGCTTGACTCGTCCAGCCGTGACAACACCCGGCGGAAACACGCACACCGGCAAGACAAAGATGCTCGGTCTTCGGTGGACACAATCAAAAACAAAACGCTGCCAAAACACACGGCCGTGCGAGAGGTCCGTACCGCACGAGAAGACGCACACGACACAAACCGGCCTTTTTATACCGCAATATACACACGAGCTAGTCAAGGGCCGGGAGTGGAAATAATATTCTCGCTCAGACTTATAAATATCCAAATGATGGATAACGATCAATAGCTCGAATCGATATGGCGTATATTAATTGAACAGGTCATAAACTTTCTTTCCTTCGATTTAATTATATTTTTTATGGCGAATAGTTTTTCATGAACATAGGTTGATGAAAAATATGAAAGCATAAGGGATATTGTCATTTTTAAAACATATATAATTTGTTTATTTGAATTTCTTACAACCAACATTTTATAAATAGTTAACATTTTTTTTTGTACAATTTTTCAATTTTGAACAATTTCATTATTTTGCGCATGCCGTTAAAATTTGGTCAGCGTGCCATAGGTTCGCCACCCCTGTTATAGTACCTAGTAAGTTAAATTTTTAGTTTCATACTTCACAAACTTCTTAACATTTCTGTTAATAACTTTTTGTGTTTAAATCTAATGTACGTATTTGTATATAAAGTACGTTATTTGTTTGGTGCTAATCAATTTTTCTGTTAAAATGACTGGTGGTAAAAAAAAATTGGCGTTTTGGTTATATTACCAAGAAAAAACTGTAAATGGCAAAAAGATACTTGAATGCTGTTATTCCAAATTTCAATATTCTAGTAAAAATGCTACTAAAACGACCATACATTTAATAAAAAACTGTAAAAATTGCCCATCTGAAGTTATAAAGAAAATTAAACCAGCTAAAGATATACATACATTACAATTACATAGCATAGAAGATAACGATTATGTGGATAATTTATTAGTAGTTATGTTTATTTTTAAAACCTATTAAATACAAAGTAGTAATTTGGATACTTTATTAATTGTTTTCTTTTTTTTTATCATTAGTTCATAATATTGTTATTATAAAAGTATTAACTAAGATTTAAGAGTACTGCATGTTTTTAATTTTATTAATAAAGATACTGAATTACCTATAGTTATATATAAATATATATTGCTCATTCCATTTATAAGTAAAAGTTACCTATTCAGTAATTGGCGATATGGAAGAAGCACTATTGTGGTTTACCATAATGTTCCTAGTACGTGTGTAACAGAATTTCGTAGATCAGACATGTTCGCATGAAAACAAAAAATACCATGCAAATCAAATTTTATATTATTTATTAAATATTATAGGTTAATATACCTACTAATAGTAGGTCCTACTTTAATATATTATAATTATTAAAAACAAAAAAACGAAATTAAGTTGTTAAAACTATTAAGTAAAGGAGAAAATTAAACCTAAAAAGGACGAAAAGTTGTACTATACACCAATTTTGCATTTACAAGTGACAATATGTCATTCAACTTCGCGTAAAATGAATCCGCGCTCATCAGTCTTTCGATCCAATCTTGGATTTCATTCCGATTCGATAAGAAGTACGATTTATTGTATACACGCTCCGTTTTACTTAATACGATTAGTTATGTTCGATTAAACGTACAATAAGTATATATATTAGTTATATATTAGTTGTGTGTAAACCGGCCTTAAGATTAATTTAAAACTGAAACCTATGATCAATATTTAAAAACTTATTATATTCCAGGTGTTGGGAATATTCCTGGGAATTTCCCAAAAATATATTCCCGGGAATTTGCCCATCACTTGTTACACCATTGCTTGAAATTAACATAATGATAGTTTGGTCTAAAAAACTGTTGCACGGTTGTATAAGAAATTGATATTTTATTACATAGGCAGGTAACAAAAAATAAAAATATTTCATTAGTGGAGGGAGGATCAGCCTCCCCACCGCCCACCACCAATGAAAATTAATATTTTTCCTTGACTACTTAACACCCATATTAACCAATATTAACCCGAATAATAACGATTGTTAATACCCAAACGTTTGTTTAAATGTTGTATTGCGGTGTTTGAATACCCGAATATATTCAACACCCGAAACCTGAAAGAATTATTCGGGTGCAAAGCCTTGCTTTTAAAGTTGAAGTGTTTCTATTCACCCTGTTTTACGATATATATTAAAAATTGATTAACAAAATAATTCATTAAATACGGGACATAATAATAATACCATTATAAATGTAATGTTATTATATATAAAGCTCGAATTGGGGGGACGCGGGCGGACGGACTCCGCTTTCATTTTTCCATAGATTTCAACGTCTCTCTTCATTTAATTAAGCGAGGAACGCTAAAAACGAGTCCCCCTGGGAATGTTTACTTTTGAGCGGTGTATTTGGATTTTGTTTTCGTTTATTTCTATTTTCTATAGCTAACTACAAAGTAATGGTTATTTTTTCCCAGAAAACGATTTCGTTGCCGATAATCACGGACTAAGATAATAATCATGGCTGAAAAACTATATAATTTTGAAGTGATTTCGGTTGTATAGTCGTACAGGCGTTTCTACTTTTGACAACCTTTTAAGAACTTTTTGTTTAATTTTCCACCAATTGACAATATTAACACAACAAAATGGATTGAATGGTGGGCTAAGAAAGGCAAACGAACAGGAGAGGAAGAAAATTGTCCTAAAAAGATAATAATTACCGAAGAAAATGCATACAAGTCATTGTGGAATTTAATTAAAGAATAATATTTTTTTTTTTTTTTTTTTTTTTTTTTATTAGCTTTTAGTATACAACTATGATAGCTCGACATTTATAGAGATTATAAATAAAACAACATTATACATTAAACATTAGTGTACATATTAAATAATGAAGCCAGCATCCAATATAAAGGAAAT